TTTAAAAAAGTGAGTTTTATGGTATATGGCTTATACTTTAATTTTAAAAACTGCAAAGACAATCAAATCTTTATCGCGGTATGACATCCTTTGAGCATCCTGTGCACTGAAAAGAGCAGCAAGTACCCTGAAATATACTGACCGTGACGGGGACAGTTTCAGACGACTCTGAAAGGAAAGCTAAGGGAACACATTTCTTTGGTCTGAGGAGTGACTTCTGATTCCTGTCAAAATAGCGAACCAGTACAGGTTGCTGTTTCTTTCTCCCCAAAATCAGCCTTGGAGAAGCTATTGAAAAAAAAAAAAAGTGGCTTCCATAGACTAAATGACACAACAAAAGTTAGAAACTCCAGCTGAAGGCGGTGTTGACGATCTGGTTTGAATATTGGTGATTCTAGCCTGGGAAGAGACAGCTAGAAGCTGCAAAGAGAGGTCAGCTTGGAGAAGAGACCTTCAGTTCTGCTCTTGCTTCTTCCCCAAATTGCCCTGCAACAATTATTATCTCCCCCTTCACCACGGAAGCCCCTAGTGTCTGGGGCACCACCAGTCCCTGCTAGGCTGAGGAGGTGATGAAATGGGTGTAGACCAACTGGCTGCCTGTGGCCATCTCCACTCCACACTCTGTCTCCAAACTCCTTGGTCTGGCGAGTCTCTGCCCACAGAAACTGCCTCCTCTCCACGCTATTTCTCCCCAAGAGTTTCCGTTGTAAGTATAAATGCTGCTAACCCCGATCGCCTCAACGTTTATCAAGCAACAAGTGATGATATTGAAAAAACGAGAAATCGAGACGTATCGTTAGAGATTTTAACAAACTTTCATAGAAACTGAAAGGACAAGTAGATTAAAAATACAGACAGCAAAGACCTGAAAAATACAATTAATAAATTCAAGCTATATAAATATATGTGTATATATACAAGTATCTGTATATATGTATATATGTTATATATGTGTGTACATGCATAGATAATCTATATGTATACACATATAGATTATATGTACATACACATGTATATATACACGTATATATTTATATAGCTTGAGTTTTTTAATTGTACTTTTCAGATCTTTGCTATGTATAATGTATTTAACGAGAGGAAGGAAACGCAATATACCAAAAAACAGAACACATTATCTTTTCTGGATATTTTCTGTGCATTTTTTAGTACATATGGAAAAAATATTTAAAAAGCAGACCATGAATTAGGCCATAAAAGAAACGTTAGCAAATTCCAAAAGAACAGGATCACATACACCATATTGACCATATTGTTCAGCTATTGCAATAAAATTAGAATTTTTAACAAAGGATGACCTTTTCCATATGTCTGGAAAACTAAATAATATTAAGAAACAACCTGTAGGTCACAGAGGACATAAAAATTCTTAAAACTGGTAGAAATTCTTAGAACTGATGATAATGAAAACATTTCTCTGTAATGTTGACAATCCAGGAAAGACCATGAGTGGTACGTGCTTAACCGGCGTATCCCAGGCTGGAACCTCTTACTGAGGATGAAATTGCGTGGATTTTAACATTGAGGCTTAAAGAATTCAGATTTTTAAGGAGACCACACTGTGGTGCACATAGTCCAACTGTTGAGTTTGCTTTTTTCCCCTGAAAATCAATAATTTTCTATGCTTAAGAAGGAAAGAACTCAGTGATGCATTGTTGAGAGTAATCTTAATACCACATCCAACTGCTTAACACAACAAGAAGAAATGCTTTCCAGGCCAACAGCAACCAAAGAGGAGACAAGAATTCATACCAGGCTTCTTCCCGAGCAGAAACGGAATCTTCCGGAATGAGAGTGAGATGCTGGTTGGGTTAGCCTAGGGTGGAGCACTGGAAAGAGACTTCCATGGGAGACCTGCCCACCATTTCTGGTCCTTGTTCTAGCTGCATATTCATAACTATCTGAGAGATGCACCAACTGTTTGCCGCATTCTCAATGACACAAACTGTTAGTGAGGAATTTCTAATTTAGTGTATGAAGCAGACAAGTGTTGTTTTTTCCTGCCAGACATCATGCCCTGCTTCTTTTGATCACAGCATCCAAGAGTTTCTTTGGGAAATGACCCCTCCTTGCTCCCTGGCCATGTGACCCAGGTGGATGCCATCCCAAGTTTGAAGGACGGGTAGAAATCTAGGCCTGTCCAATGGGCCCAGCATTTCCTGGGTGCAATGATTGGTTTAGATCTGGGGAGATGAATCTGTAATTAATCTGTTGGGAAATTTTTGCAGGGGTTTTAGTGAGAGAGACACTCTCTGTCCTTTTGAAAGCATAGGCAATAAGATATGCAAGTCCGGAGCAGCTTGGGGTCAACTTTGCTGCCACATGGACAGAGGGCCTATGGGGAAAAAAAAGAAGGGAGCCAAGAGTTGAAGAGGGACACATTCTTTTTTTAATTTTATTTTGTTACTTTATTTTTTTTATTGAGTTCATAATAGTTTATAGCATTGTGAAATTTCAGTTGTACATTATTCCCTGTCTGTCACCACACAAGGAAGAGGGACACATACTTGATGAAATTGTTTGGGTACCTAGACCCAGCCATGCCTGAAGTTAGAAGTATCCTTGAACTTTCTATTATTCAATCGACTAAGTTCTTTTTAAAAATTAAATAAAAATAAAATTAAGCTAATTTGAGATTTATCACCTGCGAGAGAAAGGGCACTGGCCAATATAGCAACTAATAAAAAATTAAAAAGCAAAACCAACTGGATTTAGAACCAGACTTTTGGCTCAACCAAACTATCATCAACAGACTATAGACACCTTCTTAATGGCGTCACCCTGTTCACTAATATAAACAATCATTGCTCTTAATTTTAAAATGTGTTTTATTTTGTCTATATAGCAAAGAACTATAACAAATTTTAAAATGCTTTGAATCTTGAAATAAATTTGGAGAGCTGTCTATACGCCAAAACCCCATTAAATACTCTCCAGACACTGCAGTTGGAGAAACCCTGATTGAGGTTTTCCCTTGGGTCCCCATCCTTCCTCTCCCAGTGGATTTACACCATGCCAGTTCTGTATGGAAGTCTGTCTTTTGGACTTCTTTTGCAGAAGCCTGTTGAAAACATTCTACCCAGACAGGGAAATGACGACACCTTTACTTACGTAAACAGTAGGCTCTTTCACTGGTTTACGGGCAGATTTGTTGGGTGCACTTCAGTGCCGCCATCTTGAAATTGGCCATAAGTCACACTCTCTACTCCTCTGAGAAGGACATTATAAAGAAAAGAATACAGGACTTAGGAAAGGAACAGAGAACACATGTATTAAATTCTGAGCAAAGGTGTATGCATGAGTGATTTTTGACAGGGCAAAACCAGATTACATATCAATATTTACATTAAAAGAGCAAGAGTACCCTCTAACTTAATGAGGGTTTTAAACCTCTTCTCGCTGCCGCTCTCATTTCCACTCGAAAAGAGCTGTCTGTCAAGCAGTTTTCTTTTTTGGTTACTGGAGAGATGATTCTCTTGGAAGGCTATGGTTTTCTTTTTTAGGCTACAACATGCTTCACAACTTAGAAGTGCTCATCTTCTTGAAATCACGTGGGCTTCATTTGTCAAGCCTTGAATTAGAGGGACATTGCCCTGGGTAAAAATATATCCACGGGGAGAGGCTTATTTGCAATTCAGAAATGTTAGCCTAGTTCATTTGGTGGCAGCCAAGTAAGCTGGGCCCGATATAGTCACCTAATTTATAGTTTTAAAAAACCATAATTGTTTGGGTTAAAGTAATGCAAAGATGAGTCCTTTCCCTGACAGCTCAGCAGGTCTCCCAAGCTGTGATTGTCAAAATGGTAGAGACTGACAAAAAAGTCAATTTGATGTCATAGTGAAACCTATCGCTGAGGTTTTTCATTAAAAAAGAAAGAGCAAGTGAACCTCAGGACTCATGTCTGTAAGGTATGAAAAACCAGCAGAGGCATCTAAATCAAACTGAATTTAACATTTCTCTTCTAAGAGAAGCCCCCCCAACCACCTTAACCCTTCCTAGAACATTGTGTGTCTTTTGCCCTGACGGCAGGATTAACACACTGAACAGCTCATCAGAATTGCCACGCTCTTCCTTTTCTCTGTTTTAACGACCACCACCAGATGCTTTTTTCCTATGGGTATTCTTGGGATTTCAGTTCTGAATTTAGTTTGGGTTGGCTGTGCCAGTTCCTTTTGGCAGGCGGCAGTCCCAGGTGGCTGCGCGCCGGAGGCCCTGCAGTCCCACCTGGCCCTTCTCCCCGTTTTCCATTAAGGACTCCCTGGTTCCTTCTTGTGCTGAATGGCCTGGAACTCTGGGCCTGAATCACGTTTGCTTCGTTCTCTGAGCACCCGAACAAAGCGCAGCAGTGACAGCCTCGGCTCTCAGCTGTCTTGGCGATGGAACGGACGAGGGTTGGGAACCCCTGCTTCCCCATCACTCTGGGGCCCGTGTGTTCCCATTCCCCGCCCAGCCTCTGGTTGCTGTCCGCGCTGCGCATGGATGCCCTACGCCCCCACCCCTGCTCCCACGATGGGCGTGGGCCAAGGTCTCCCTCGGGCATCCTCCACCTCGCCTTGCCTTGCCCCTCCTCCCCCCAGGCTTAAGCCAAGGGAGCAGTTTGTAACTCTCCCCTTTCACAGTTCTTTAAAATACTATGGTGATGTGGTATAGTGGACAGAGGGTGGTCTTTAAAGTTTGACCCAATTTTGTGACTTTAGGCTACCTAACCGCGGTTCCCACTTTGCAAGGTCATTGTGAGGGCCGGGGATTGGGGACACAAGCCTCTTGGAACATGGCGGTACGTAGAACGAAGGTCCATTTTATTAGCACTGGGTTGTTTTTTGTTGTTTTTTTTTAAGGGGCAGAAATGACATTGACTTGGCCGTTTTTTTACAAATTTCTACCCCTCAGGCAGTGAGTGACTGCTCAGCCATTTTAACTTGATCACTGCCAACCCCGAACCTTCCTTCCTCTTTACCGGCGGGACGGAACACGTGGGAGGGCACGCCCCCTGGTGGCCGGCCGGAGAGTTGCAGTTAATTTCCGTTTCTCTCATTCAAACTTTTTTAAGATGCAAAATCTCTTCTTAACTTAGAGGCTGAGAAGAGCGTGAGGAGAGGGTTGAAGTCACAGGAGAGGCCCCCTTTAAGGAGTCAGGGAACCAACGGTCCCGGTTTGCCCGGACTAAAAGATGGTCTGGGACCGACTGGACTTTCAGGGCTAAAATCCTGCAAGTCCTGGACAAACTGAGACAAGCTGGTCCCCCAACGTTTATCCCGTTCACTCTGTTGCTATATAGAGACCAGACCTCTACAGGGGTTTAAATAAAAGTCTGGTGGTTTAAACAGGAACAAAGATTGAGAGAAGTCTGAGGAATGGCGCAATTTCCTGAAAGAAAGCAGGTGTAAGTAGGGTGTCAGATCAGAGACTGGGGCGGGGTGGGGCAAGTCGGGGGATGTTGTTAACATAAGGACCTGAGGTCCTTAAACTGTGTCTAAACAGCAAAGTGCTGGACACTGTGATCTGACTTCGTCTCCATTCTTCCAGGATGGTCTTCATCAACGAAAGCCCTATGCAGATTTCTGAACCGTTGGATAATTTTTCTCTTTTGGCAAGAACATTTCAAGGAGGTTTCCCTAACCACTGTTCCATCCCACAGGGCCAAAATGGGAAATTCAAGTTGTCCTTTTTATCCCCCAGTGCTTTGCCAACTCAAACACTATAAACAAATCACAAATTAATACCCCTAACTAATCGCTAGAGGCTAAGAGAATAATTACGGTTGAGTCACGCAGTGTAAAACAGGGGTAAAGAAGGGCCTCGTGTGCAACGGAAATTGGCAGGAAAACTAAGAAAGGTAGACTGCCATCACCTGGGCTGGAAATGAGCCAGGACCACACAGTTAAGTCTCAGCACCAAGGTGCAGGTGTTGAAGGAGTGAAGCAGAGCGGCCTTCCAACCTTTTCAATTGCTCTTCAAATTACCCGGCTGCTGTTGGTCCTCGGTGTTGACTTTGCAAAGACTTTCCCCGTTCGGTCCTGCCTAGAGAATCAAAGCTGATCAGATTACATGGGAAAAGGGCCAGGCTGTTTACTCCCAGCTTTCCGAGTCCCCTCTCTGTGGTAAAGCTGCAAATGGAAATCTCTCCGGTCATTAGTTTAACACAGTAGTTTCCAACCGGGGGTCATTTTGCTCCTCCGCCTCTCCCCCAGGGGGGACATTTGACAATGTCTGCAGACATTTTGGTTGTTACAATTTGATGAGTGCTACTGACATCTAGTGGGTGGGGCCAGGGATGCTGCTAAACATCCTGCAGTGACGAGGAGAGCCCCCACAACAAGGAAGTACCCAGCCACAAAGCTCAGTAGGTCGGAGAGTGAGAAACCCTGTAAGATGGCATACAGCTGTCAGGTTCTTCCAGTCTCATTGTTGTGCAACCCAGAGGAAGAACAACTGGTTTTTATTTTCATGATGCTACAATGGAACGGCAGCCACACTTTTCCAGAAAGGTTCAACAAAAGCAGAACACACAATATAGTAAGCGTGATGTTAAGAGACTGATAATTCCATCAATTTATTAGGCACAATGGAAAGAACGGAGCCAACTCCATTATTGTAAATCGGTGCAGCTCAGGGAGTGGGTCAAGGGTTCAAATCCAGGATCATAGGTTTGGGATCAAAGCTAGAGGACTGCCAACTCCATCCACAAGGAAAGTAGAAATATAGAAATAAAGGACTGTGAAAATGCGTAGCTGCAAATCCGTGCTAATTTGTGCACAGTGGCTTATACCTCATCTGATCAAATTAATAGTATTTAGTTTTTAAACACGGCCAACAGGGAAATTTGCAAGATGAGACTGGAGCATCTTACAGTGCCAGAAAGTAAGAAAGTGCTCAAATAAACAAAAAATGCAAGGATGAGGGTATGTCCAGGGGACATATGAGCCAAAGGCAAGATCTCTCAATGGCCAAAGCTGGAACTAGGTGAACAAGAAAATAAATAAGGTAGAATTGGATTATAAACCAAAGTGTAACATGGCTGTCCATGAGTCCATACTAATATAAATAAATGGGGAAGAATAAATAAGTCTACTCTGGGTGAGAGGATGAGAAAGCTCTTTTGCTTTGTTTTTAAAAAAATGCCTGTTAGAGACACGTTAACGCAGACTCTGAAATCAGAGTGGCTTCCTCTCTTATCTCCGCCACTTCTAGCTTTGTCATCTTGAGCGAATTGCTCTTCTCTCTGAAGCCTCAATTTTTTGCATATGTAAAGTAAAGGTAATAATGGCATCCATCTCATTGTTTTGTGAGGATTAAATGAGACAATCCCTATAAATCTCTTAGCATGGTGCTAGCACAATTTAGGAATATAATAACTTTTATTTCCCACTCTGTATCATTTCTCAGTTGGCATCTCTTTCTCGTCACCAAACTGTGAAGTCAGAAAGGGCAGGAGCCGGGTACCTTCTCTCTGAAACGTCAGCATCCACCACAAAGCATTTTAAATAAGTGGGTGATGAATAAGTGAATGAACCAATGAATGAATGTGATCAGAACTGTGGCTCTGCTGGGGGCAGACAACGATGTCAATGAACTGGGAGTCCTGGCTTTGAGCATCGGGGTTGAGGAAGACGGGGAGGCCGCAGCCGGTGTAGGACCCTGTCATTGGAGAGAGTGCTGGGTGTGGGTCTGACTGCGTTTAGCAATTCTCTTGACCATTTCCGTCTTGCAGGGAGCCATGTGCGTTGCCAAGGCCCTACGAGTCTGGCTCTTGGAGACTGGAGTCTGTGAGCTGCTTCTTTCCACTGTGCGTAGCAGGGGAGCTACGGAAGAGCTCCCGGTCACAAAGAAACTCAACAAGAAGCCGGACGTTAACATCTGTAGGTCATATAAGCCATAGTCATGAAAGGACATTGTTTAGAAAGTACTGCAATATGCTTTGAGCCAGTTACCTTTCAGCAGCCAAAAGCACAGCAATAGGAACTCCACTGTGTGTGTGGACTTTATCAATATATCCATATGTACACATATATAATTTCTTAATATAAACACATTACACTGTGGGTTTGTGTCTCTTTTTTGGGAATATACGTTAGATCCTAGCACCACTGTAGAGAAAAATGCTGTACCAGTGATGTTTTATTCTTGATAATCATGTTTTGAATGTGTTTTAACTTCAACAGGATAATTCTTATTCCTGGGGTTTCGGGTCTAAAGAAAACTACCTTGGATAACACAGGTACATTTTTCCAGTTCTTTTCTTTATAGCCATAGAAGACAGCTCTTGCATCTGGTTTAATCCTGCCTCACAATCATCGTGAATTAATACTTTGTGTACTTGTGTGGACTCATTAGATTTTCTGGGTGTGTAAACAATAACAAAAGTGGGCTTTGTTGACAATGGCAAAGCAGGCTAGCCACCAATGTCAAATTTGCCATGGGAGTCCTTAATTTGCTGTCTGCATAGACCCAGCCAGACAGCGTCAGAGCTGGCTCCGTGCTTGGTGAGTTTGTTTGAAATTCCAGATTTTCCGTCACATTGGATGTGATGAATGGGCTGGGGTCTGGTGGTTCATTACTGCTCTCAAGGACAGCCAGAGGATCCTTCAGGCTGAGTTAGGGTGACGTGCCGAGAAACTGCCACGGATTCACAAGCTCTGCGAAGGCTATATATTCAAGGGTAGTTTTTTCCGAATAAAAAGGTTTTTCATTCTCTTCTTCACCCACCCCCATCCTCGACCCTCCTCCCAGGATTCTGACAACCATGTCGTGCAAGTTGCTCCTCAGTTTTCCAGCTAAACAGTCCCCTTCGGCATTTTATATAAAGAGGTCTACGTTATTTAGTCAAGAGGGAAAATTATGTACTGTGGAAGGCGCCTAAAAAGTGGCTGAGAAATTGAAATGTAAGATTTCCTTATGACAAATGTTCTATTTTTCCTGGCAAATAATGTCTTCATTAATCTTGCCACTAGCTGGTGCTCAGATACCATTTAGTAAGCATGCGATTACACTGAATCAGCCACGATCAGTCACCCGAAGTGGGTCGTTCCTCTTTGTTTGACATCATGCCCATATGTCATTTCCACTGTCTGGCTCATCATCGTAGGGAAAGCAGTTCTCCGGGTCCTGACCAGGGTGTCTGCCACCCTACAGCAGCGCTTACAAACGTCCAAGAGATTTCCTTCCAATAAGATTATCTTGAAAGGCTCTTTACACTAGAATTCTCTGATTTTATTGCGACTTTCAACACATAAACTTATTTTTTTTGGTTATTCTTGAGTCATATTATAAAATAATATAATATAATGTAATTGATGCATTTTGGGGACTAGAGATTTTAAAGACAAAGATATCCTAGTAAAAATCCTAATCCCCAAATTTGTGTTGTTAAAATCCTCCTTGAAGGAAGCAACAGAGTTAGACAGGTAGCCAGAACTCTGTTTTTATTTTACAGTTGGAACATTTATATATAATTGTGGCATTTATACATTTCCTTATGAATTCACCATTATGCCCTCAAGCCACCATACAAAGCTCTTCTCTTGCTCTGTTCCATATTTATCTTTTCCTGATTCACTAGTTTTTTTCCTTTTCTTGTCTTCCTGTGTTTTCCTGGCCTCCCTTACAGTGTTGAGTAGCGATGGTGACGTCAGATATTCTTGTCTTGCTCCTGAGAGCAAAGAAAGAGCTTCTACCATTGATGTATTTGCGGCAGGTTTTTAGTTTGCTAAGCCTTATTGTAAATATGTATTGCATTTCATCAAAAGGGTTTTTTTTTTTGCATCTGTTGAACCAATCATATGGTGTTTCTCCTTAACTTTCTGAATGTTGTGAATGCATTAATTAATTTTTTTTAAGAATAAACCAGCCTGGCATTCCTAGTATAGACCCAACTTAGTCACTAGAGTTTATCTGTTTCATATAATGTAGATTTGGTTGCTAATATTTTTTATAGGATTTTTGCCTGCATGTTCACGAGTGAGGTTGGCTGGGGTTTTTTTTGTCTTGGCTATCTTTGCTGGGTGTAGTATTGAAATTATGCCAACCTCACAAAACAGACTTGAAGAATCTCCTCTCTTCTGTGAAACAGTGTGTGTGAAATTAGAACAACGTCTTGTATGACTGTTTGGTGAAGGGCACGAGGAAAGCCATCTGAGTCTGGAATTTTTAACGAAAAAATATTTACTACCAATTCAATTTCTTCAACAGTTGTAGAAATTTTCCAGTGCTTTGTTTCTTCATCAATCTCTTTTGCTGTTATTTTTTCTAAGAATTTTTCCATTTTGAAAATTTTCAAACTTATGGCCATACAATTGTTTATCGTATCTATTTTCTATTTAATATCTATGACACCTACAGCATGTCCCTTTTTCATTCCTGGCATTGGTTATTTGTGAATTCTGTCTCAGTCTCGTTTTTTTTTTTTTTACATCACAGAGATTTGTCAATGTTATAATTTTTTCAAAGAACTAACTTTTGGCTTTATCGATTCTCTCTATTATATATTTGTTTCTAATTAATTCTGTTCTTTATTATGACTTCCTTCCTTTTGATATCTTGTGAGGTTATCTTTCTACCCCATCACTAAAATCTACTCATAAATTGGTTGCCATTTTTAAATAGTGATCAGCTTATTGGTAATAAGTAACAGTTGCTTAGCTTGAATTCCGGAGTTGGTTTGGTTGACTAGAGGACAGCGTGAATGAGGCTGAGGTTGAAATTTTATTCCTCCCTGGGCTGATGAACTTCCTTCAACTCCTTGGCTATGGTTCAGCCACCTGACACAGGTCACCGAAATTCTCTCTGTAAGTGTGGGGTCTTTGACCATGACTGGTGAAACGTTACTGGAAAAACAATACAGAAATTCATGTCCTACTATCTGTTGGTTACTTCTGTTATCCTCAACTAGTGAAGAGTAACAGATTTTATGACAAAAAAAGCACAAAGGAAAGGTTCATCTGTTGGTAAAAATATGCTGGCGATTCCATTTCTGCCTGAGTTTGATGTATATGTCACCCTTTAAAATACATAAGAAATTTTCACAAATTGAGTTTCATTTTATTATACTATCATCGTGATAAATTCCCCTTTAAAAATCTTTGAAATAAGTCAGAAATATCGTTGTTTACATCACTCTGAATTAATGTGTCTAAAAGTCAGCTCTGGCATATCTAAAAGCAACTTAGAGCCATTCCCTGTGATGGGGATCAAGGAGAGGGAGTGTTCTCATGGGAATGTTTTGTGACGCGTGTGAGCCATTGTGTTTGTCAACAACAGGTGTTCGAGTCCCTTATCCCCAATTATATCTGGTACGGTACGTTGCATGGGGGTTTGCTGGTTCAGAACCTGGGTGCAGACGTGGCACCGCTTGGCAAGCCATGCTGTGGTAGGCGTCCCCGTATAAAGTAGAGGAAGATGGGCGTGGATGTTAGCTCAGGGCCAGTCTTCCTCAGCAAAAAGAAGAGGATTGGCAGTAGTTAGCTCAGGGCTGATCTTCCTCAAAAAAAAAAAAAAAAAAGACTGATTTTCTAAAATGGATGAAAGTTACAAATAGTTCACAGAAAATGAAAAGTGAGTGGTCTTCAAAGATCTGAGAAGATGCTCAGCTTCACATATAATAGGAGAAGGGAGAAAACTACCCAGAGACAGTGTATCTTACCTGTCAGACTCACAAAAATTCAAAACAGGGTGTGGGGGAAACAGGAATTCTCATACGTTATTAGTAGGAATACAAAGTACAGTCCTGAGGGCTCAGTGACAGGGATATGTTCTGAGAAATGTGTCATCAGGCAACTTCGTCATTGTGCGAACATCATAGAATGTACTTACACGAACCTGGATGGTATGGCCTGCTACACACCTAAGTTATGTGGTACTAATCTCATGGGACCACTGTTGTCTGTTGACCAAAATGTCGTTATGTGGTACACGACTGTAATATCAACCCTGTGGAGGAGAATTTGGCAATAACTAGCAAAATTCCGTATACATTTATTCTTTGATGCAGCGATCCCATTTCTAGGACTCTATCCCAGGGATGCTTTTGCAAACAAACACACAAAGTGACGTATTCATAGGTTATTCACCACAACATTAATTGTAATGGTAAAAGATTTGAAACAACCCAAATATCCATCCATAGGGAAATGGTTGACTCAAGTATGAAAAATCCACACAATGGAGCACAATGCATCATAAAAGGAGTGGGGAAATGTCTCTCTCTGCTTATATGGAGTGATATCCAGGATATGTTGATAAAAGACAAGAAAATAGCGCCTGCAAAACAGTGTCCATAGTGTACCAGCTTTTAAGAAAAGAAAGGGAGGAAATACAAATACACACATTTTTCTCCTGTTTTCAAAAGGAGACTCAAGAAGGATACACCAGTGGGAGAGAAGGAGAGACCGAAGCGGGAATGGGATGAGACCTTTCTGAACACATCTTGCTAGAAAGCTTTGACTTTGGAATCATGCGGTGTTTTACATATTCAAAACATTAAATCAAAGGCGAGGGGGGGAAGCATCTCCTAAAATTTAAAAAGAAATCAGAACAAATTCTAAATTATGTATCAAATAGATGTCGTACGACAGAGATAAAAGAGCTATTTCAGGTTTCTTTTGGATGCGGCATTTGGATGGTACATCATTAGCGGAATATTCTGAGGTTGAAAAGAACTGCAAAGAAAATTTAAACTTCATTCAGTTGTCTTTTTGTTACTAGCAATATTGGGATTGTAATTTTGAAATGTTTGTGCATGTATTGTAGATTAATAAGTCGTTAGAGCAATAAAAATTATTGTTAGGAATCAAGATTTTTAGTATAACAGAAAAGACACACAAATGTAAGCTTAAAAAAGTCAAGTGAACACTAATGGAGCTAAATTTGAGGTGAAAATACCACTGTGAATATTTTAGGCCTTTTCTTTTTGAAAAATATGTGTTTTCTAAATCAATTAACAGAAGCGAAGGCAGCTCGATTGTAACGCCTACACCACCCTCGCTAAAGTGAACTGGGCTTCCTAGAGAAACAGCTAAGTCCAAACTG